TGGGTTGCACTTATCCTTCTTGGTTGTGTGGGAGAGGCTAAACCTGAACTATTTCCTTAAATTGTGAAATGATTGGCCACTGAGCCTGGCAGCTTCCTGATGCACTAATGCAAGGGTCCCCAAACTTGGCAACTTTAAGACTTGTGGACTTCAAGTCCCAGAATTCTGGGACTTGAAGTCTACAAGTCTTAAAGTTGCCAAGTTTGCACTAATGTGTCTGTCTGAGAGACGGAGTCTGCACAGAACGTTTGAGGATAAATGGGCAGGTTTCAGTCTGCCTGTGAAATGCCTGGTAAAATTCCACATTTTGCTGAAAGCCTGTCCAGCCAGATTGCTGTTGTCTGGGTTGGCTCTCTTCTCCATTCTGAAATATTTGCTATTCCAGACCATCAACTCATTGCAGTAGCCCTGAGAATTGAGCTGCGGCATACAGTTACCAATGGCTGCCTTTTCCAACAGTTCTCTTAGATCCTATCATCCTCTACCTTCAAGGGTTTTCTAGTACAGGGAGTAGAACATGATGGAACCAATCCAAGAAAGGGCTTGAAGACACCACCCAACCGTTCTGATGACTTGTGAATGTAGAAACTGCCAACTAACTGTATGTTTAATGCTTCAGTGTTTGCCATGGTAATTTGTGAAACATTAAAAATTATCTCCTTTGACTTTTTTCCCTGTAGAGTAGTTTTAGCTCAGACCAGAGGTGGGATTTTACCGGTTCAGACCGGTTCTATAGAACTGGTTGTTACGATTCTGCGCAGTTCGGAGAACCGCCAAATTGTGCCTCTGGCGGGCCCCGTCCCTCTCTGCCCAGTCAGTCCTTATCGCTCATGCACAACATTGCATGCATGCCTGACATCACTGACTGCATTCTCCCCCGCCCAGTCACTCCTTAAGGTATTTGTTTTTTCCCCCTTCCAACGATCAGCTGTTCTGATGATCAGCTGTGCCGGGATCCCCCTCGCTGTCTTAATGCTTCGCCCAGGAAGCTTCCCTGAGGCCCAGGAGGCAAAAAAATGGAGTGGGGGGGGGGGGTTCTGCAAAAAAAGAAGAAGCCACACCCACCCAGTCACATGACCATGCCCACCTAACCATGCCCACCAAGCCACACTCACAGAACCGGTAGTAAAAATATTTGCATCCCACCCCTGGCTCGGACCGTCACTACCACTCCATGTAACATAAGAGCTGTAGAAAGAAACTCACAGAGCAAGGAATTGTTTTGGGCTATGGATTATTTTCTTCCAAGGTTGCATCACTGGAAACAGCCCTGTTCAGTTCAGAACATTTTCAACATCACTGATGTACAGTGTTCATGATGGTTATGATTAATATTGATAGATCGAGTGGTTCCTCTTGGCTTTTGTCTTTGAACCCAGAACTATTAGAGTTGCCCTGTAATTATTTTTCAAATTTAACTGTCAAATTTAATTTAGATGGATGCCCACTGGTGTCATCTTGTGTTCTGAGGCTTTACCTCAAAGCTGCAGCAGCTCTTTCCCCACAAAGTGGCACTTGTGGCTTCCTGGCCAAGGAATTTACAATCCACTTCCTCCATCTCCGGGGAGGCAGGTTCAGCCAAGATGAAGCAAGCTCCTCCTGCAGGGAGGGAATTGGGAGCCGGTGCGGTTCCTGGAGGCATCAAGAAGAAAAGCTGAGAGCGTTTGCTGTTATCAAGGGGAAAGGTAGGCAGACTGATGGTCCATCTTCTCAGTCTCCTGGCAGTTCTGCAGTTTTCCTGATCATTTTAACAGAATAACAGAGTTGGAAGGGACTTTGGAGGTCTTCTAGTCCAGTGGCCGCCAACCAGCAGTCCAAGGACCTCTGGTGGTCTGTGAGAAAATTTTGGTGGTCCGCAGAGAAATGTCACCCCCAGAGCACCCCCCCCCCAAAAAGCAATTAATCCAGGCTGCGCGGGAACACAAGGCAGCGCTGCCCACATGGCCTGCGGGAACACAAGGTTTATGTCACTTGCATTGTGAACAACACAAGGTAGTGATGGGAGGGGGGAAAGGGCAGAGGGGGGAAACTTGCCTACTTGCCCCACGTGCCTCACCTGGCCACTGGGCTGCTTCTTTCCGCTTCTTTCTTGTTCTGCTTTTGGCTGAACGCAAGGAAAGCAGCAAAAGTCTTTCTTTTTCTCCCCCAAACTCTGCCAGAAATGAGTCTTTGGGACCCTGCAAGGCCTCCTGCTCCAAGAGGCTGCGCCGGCGTGACAAGTCTCACAAAGACTCATTTCTGGCGGAGTTTGGGGCAGAGAAAGAAAGACTTTTGCTGCTTCTGCTGCTTTCCTTGCATGAAGCCAAAAGTCTCTCTCTCTCTCCCCCTGAGAACAGAGTTGGAGATGGTAACCTGTGATCCCAAATAATGAACGATCGATCGGTAGGAAAGTGAGGTGGGCAATTTTCCTGCAGACTTTTGGGGGGATTTTTCCAGGGTCTCTGGTCCGTGGGATTTAAAATGATGAGTTTGGTGGTCCCTGAGGTCCAAAAGGTTGGCAACCCCTGTTCTAGCCAAACCTCGTTGTCAAGCAGAAAACCCTATATCATTTCAGACAAATCCTTTAAATCCTGCTTAGGTTTTCAGGGTCTGTTGAGGTAATTCCCCGTTAGGAGAATGAGCGCGTACAGGGAGACGTATTTGAGAGTAGTGTTGGGATAATACACACAGAGCACACAGATACACTGTACAGTAAATGTAGGTTTTTACTTCCGGAAAGGTTTAAGCAAAGTTCAAAATAGGCAGTCCAAAGTCATTCACAGGTTAAGATCAGTCAGTTTTTTTTAGTCCAGGGATAATTCAATAACAAAGTCCACTGTCAAAAACGGTTCAGTATCAGACTTACATTAAATCCAGGAATATCAGTCAATTAGGAAAAATGGAGGAACGGCAATACTTTCCAACAGAAGGAAACAGAGATTCACTCTCTTCTGAGACTCAGACTAAGACAAACCAGGTTTCTGGCTCCATCTTATGGCCGTTTGAGAAACCACACCTAATTACAGTTTTGCATTTTCTTAAAGACACAGTATTAAAATGTCTATCCTGGTTTATATATTTCTAACCCAAATACCTGTTAGGTGACTTACATTCCTAACAGGGTCAACCACTAGAACCTTCTTCAGATGTGAGTTCAGAGGGAAACAATGAGTTTGAGTCAGCAGAGGAAAGCACAGAGCCAAGTGTTGGTCAGGATTGGGGTTTGAAGAGTTATAGCCTGAAGCAGCAGCCTCAGCTCAGTCATCCGAGGACAGACAGGCTGAGGTTGAGCAAGGGGAGACACAGCTGAAGCTAGTTAGCCAGGAGGCTCCAGGCAAGGACTGGGAGCAGCTGCCGCCTGTTAGCAATGAGGAGGAGGTGGAGTCCACACCTCCCCCCCAATCCAAGGAAATGTAGGGCAGAGAGGAGACAGTCACAATGCCAGGCAGCTAGACTGCTTGCAAGGAGGCAACCTCACCTCTCATGAAGGGCTGCACTGGCATTGTCTCCTTAAACCCACCCCGAAGAATTAAGCATTGCTGGAGCAACATGCCCAGTTCTGCGCCTTGTGTGCTCATGCTGTGTATCCTGACACATTCGATGTGTGGACTTCTTTCTTGGACTTCGTGTGTGCCTATTGGACTTTGTTACCCAATGACTCTTGCCATACTGAGCTCAGAATCCAGACCTGCACAGCGGAAATGTTTTCTGAGGATCTGTTTGGGTGTGTGTTTTGAATCTTGCTGCACATATGTGCATGTGTGTATAGGGAATGGGGCAGCACAATAATGTTGTCAGCCCTCTGAGGTAGTCCAGATCAGGAAACCAAAACCTAGATTACTAATACAAATTTTATTGTAAGATTACAGTAGCTGAATATTGTAAGCCTGTAAGTGCTTCCCCCCCCGCCTTTCAGCATATTAGGGAGGGTTCCTTCTGTGATGCTTTCTCCACCCCATCTGCTCCTTTGGATTCTGATTTCTCTTATCAGACCATTGTCCAGCTTTTCCTCCTGTCTCCCAAGGTTATTCTCACAGTCCGTTATATCTACAGCAATGGGAGAATGCAGCTGAAATTGGATTCGGGCTCCTTTGAATGCTGAACTGTGCAACCCTTTCCAGTCTGTTCCTTGCCCCCCACTCTCCATTGCGAAGCTCTAGGTTGCTGCTTTAAGAATTATTATTATTATTTTTTGAATAGCTGTGTCAATAATTGTGTTGCTTTAAAACAGCGTTTCCAACCTTGGCAAGTTTAAGATGTGTGGATTTCTGGGGACTACTGGAAGTTGAAATTCACACATTGTAACAGTGGAGAATTCACTGCTTTAAACTGAAAACTCCTGGTGGTGGGGAAAAAATACTTGTTGTGTGAGGACCAGCCGTAACTCACTTTTTTTCAGTACCGCCATAATTTCCAACAATCTTTAAACAATTGGTTGCAAGTCGAGGACACTAGAATATCCTGCAGGTACTTTTCTTTTTCCTGGGTCTTAAACAACCAGGGAGGTTATATAACTCTCGCCAAAGGAGTTGTCATAACTCATCAAACATTCCTATGCTTGTTTTAGTAATTGCCAAAAAAAACAGAGGGGGGGAGGGGGGAGAGGAAGGAAATCTGGAAGAGCAGTACGGCAGTTTGAAAGCGAAAGTACATTCCAACTCTTATCTTTAAAAGGTTGTAACTAAAATATCAGAGTTTTTGCCCAGGAATGTGTTTAATTGGAGAACATGATGGATGACAGCCCTGAACGTGCTTAATTGGAGAATCTGGTTTATGACACACCCAGGAGGAAGGGAGGAAATGGGGTCATAGGTGACTGCAAATGGCGTATGCCAGAGTTGGCTTCATACAGGGCAGTGCCAGTATGTTGCCTCCAATAAATCTTTTGAAGTTTCTTGAAGTTTGGCTCGAGAATCATGATTTAATTAGAGCGATTGCTGGAATCCTGACAAGAGTCTTCTAGTAAGAAGGTATGTTACTAATGACCTGATGCCAAGTTCTTTCTTTTTTCTCTCTTCCAGAATAAAGTCTTGAATGTGGATGGCGTCAAAGTAAAACTGCAGGTAAGCCAAGCCATGTGTCAGTTTTGATTCTGAATGTTTTGCTCTTTTGTTCCTTCCGTAGAGCAACCAGCTTCCTGCTAGATTCAGATGCTATTTATTTGTTAGCTTCTCTATTCGCCTCCTGGACTCAGGATACCCAGAACATCTTGTCACAGGCAGAGTGAACAGCCAGCCTGAGCCGACTTGGGGGAGATGTTCCCATAAATATCTTCTGAACAAACCCAGCAGGGGTTTATACATTAAACTGGGACCTTCAGTTCTTTTCAAAAGCCAAAGAAGCCAGAGCTGCCCCTGAAATATTGAAGTTATCCCGCTGAAATAATGCCCCATTGCTGGATAGAATTCCATGAATGGAATGGAATGGAAGAAGAGGGTAGGGGAATAGGAATAGAACATTCTTTTGGGCCAAGTATAGTTGGACTCACAAGGAATTTGTCTCTAGTGCATAAGCTCTCAATATACATACAAGCAACAAAGTGATAAATCATGAATCGCAGTCTTAAGATACAATCATAAATCATAAGATACCATCAACAAAGTGATAGTCCTAAAGTATACAAGGTCAGAGAAATAAGGAATACTTCCCTTAAGCACACATTGTGGACCTGAACAGGAGGCTCTGCTATTCCTCAATCGTATTTGCTCTCAGTTTTCTATCCCAAGTGTTCTAGGTCTCTTTTCTGCCAATCTCCTGGTAAATGAACACCCACCAAGTCAGAAAGAGACACAAATGGGCAACCTGATCCAGCACCATAGCAGCCTCTGTATAAGTGGCCAACGAGGTTCATCAAAGAATTTCCCATGGTGTTGCTGGTTGCCCTCAAACATGAATGGATGGATGGATGGATGAATTATTTATGAATTCTTTATTGGCCAAGTGTGATTAGACACACAAGGAATTTGTCTTGGTGCATCTGTGGTAATCCAAGCAGATCCAGAAAGCATCTGTGATGGGTCAAAGACCGAGGTTGATAATGGTGACTAGCCTCAAGCTGATCCCAAAATGACCTGCCCAATGGCAAAGAACTAGTTATCAAGTGTTCCATCTCCAGATCATGCTCTGAAATGGTCTGAGATGAAAACTTGGTACAGTATGTCCACCTTCATAGATTAAGCCAGTTATCACTTCAGACAAACCCAAGTTGAAATGCCAGGTTCTGTCATCAATAGGAGACAGAATCTTCACATATAGCAACATGTATGACAAACTGGGGGAAGTGATAGTCACCACAAAATCTCAAAGACCCCCATGGCTGATCTGAAATATCTTTTCATTGATGATGGTCATAGCCTTCTACCGCCTTTCTCAACTATGTCTGTGATGCACAAATTTGCCACCTTCACTTATTCCTTTATCTCATTTGGCCAAATTATATCCATCCACTATCCTCCTTCTTCTTTCATTTTACATATACAAAGTTATCCATCTGAACCTTCTTTACTGGTATAATTATCTCCTGAGATGCTTCACAGTCTTTCTATCAACAAAGACTTTGAAAAAAGTTCAGAGAAGAGCAACTAAGATGATCAAAAGCCTGGAGATTAAACCATATGAAGAATAGAGTAGGTTGGGTTGAGAGTGACAGGGTCATTTGATGAACTTCCATGTTTGAAGGTATCACCCAAATCTCCCCAGTTTTAACCCTCTACTTTAACTGCTCTGCCTGAATCTGTAACTCAGTGTGCATGGATGAATGACTTTCAACCAAGAGGCATGGTGGATCTGTCACTCAAGATGATTAATTTGTTTATTTTTTAAAGAAAATACTTCAGTCTATATATTATCTGGCATAATTCAAGTTCATTATGAAGTCCAAGTAGATAAATATTGGAAAACAGTCATTCCGTGGAAAAGATTGTCAGTGTTGTAACATGAATAATAAGTTGGCTATGGCGAGTTGGTCACAAGTTGTCCCATTCTGTCAACACTTGGGCTGCCAGATGACCTACTTTCTTTATCATGTGCTTTTCTGCTTTTTGCCCTTTTCAGATTTGGGACACAGCTGGCCAGGAGAGGTTCCGCAGTGTCACCCATGCTTACTACCGTGATGCCCATGGTAAGAAACTCTAGGATGCTTTGAGAAGTCAATTCCTTGTGGAAGAAGGTTGCCATCTTGAGTACGCTGTAAAGCCCTACCTGCGGTCTTCTCCTTTTGATTTTATATTTAAAATTGAGCTTTGGAAGACGGCAAGAAATGTATTTCACATGCTTGCTTACTGCTTGTTTTTTTCTCCCAGGTTAGGGGCATTATCAATTCTTGGTTGTGCCAGCCAGTCAGAAATGATATAAATAAGGAAGTTTGTAAGTGAGGGAAGATGAAGTAATCAGAAATTGGGGGTGATGGATTCAAACATTTTTGTACCAAGAACTGAAAAATAGCCAAGTGAGATGATCAAAGTCTGAAATTACTGAGGGTGTTTACAGAGTGGAATGAGCATTAAAATGGCTCACTAGGTCTGCCTGAGCTTTTAGTCCCCCTGTTTGTTTCAATAACAGCACAATATTTTAATGATCCTTTTTGTGGATAATCGCTATGCAGAGGGAAGAGATTTGTAGAGGGAGGAAGTGATGTTATGAACTGTAGTATACTGTTGGCCATGTTTGTCTCCAGAAGGTCACCCTCGATGGCCGTGGCATAGACAAATACAACTCCTTAGAGAAGGAAATGAGACCACCCTACCCCCACCCCACACACACTTCTGTTCAGAGAACCCAGTGGACATTAAAAACCAGAGTTAAGATACAACTGGAAGTTGAGTTCCTGGAGAGGAAGAACAGAGGGCGACTATCGGTAGTACTACCGCTGGTGACATGACTGGATTAAAGTTGGAAGGACAAGCAGCTGCCATTGTGCCCAGAAGCACCTATATAATGTATATATATTCTTTATTCAACAACGTCATCTTTGGGGATCTAGATATTGTTCCTCTTTTGTTGGTTTCTTGCTTGCCTCAGGAACAGCTTTTCCCCAGAAATCCATACAGCTCCCACCCTGATAAGGTTTTGTGTAAATCCTTGAAAACCTGACTTGGGGAAACCCATACTTTGGGGAAGGGTGGGTGTTGAATCCCTGCTGGTTGTTCTTTGGTGTGCAGTCTTTCTTTTCTCCAGATGAGCATGATCTTTTATTTTTATTTATTGTTCTTTACTTTTTAAGTGGGAAGGTGCCCAGAATCATGAAAATCAAATTTTCAAGGATTTACAGAACCTCATCAGCTGTATGGATTTCTGGGGGAAGGCTGTTCCAAAGGCAAGTGAGAACCCAACCAAGAAGGAACAATATCTAGATCCCCAAAGATGACATTGTTGAACAAAGGGATCTAGAGCATACCCACTTCGTCTCATCTTATAGGATGATTATTGGCTTTAAGTGATCCCTCAAATAACCAGGCCCTTTATTAGAATGGCTTGGTAGATGATAACCAGCACCTTGAATTGCACCTGGAGGCCAAAGAACAACGACTGTAGCATGAAGAGCAGCAATAGGACTTGGGCCTTCCATGGCACACCATCTCTGCTTGCACTACTGGATCCATTGTAGGCCTCCCAAGCTGGGAGCAGATGCGGCTGTTGCAATAGAAGGACCCATGCAAAATCTCTCCTGGCAAATCTTCCACCTATTGTTTTGGCAGAAGCCAGAGTCCAAGACAGATAGGGTTCCAGTCTCAGATAGAGAATTGTGACCCCTTCCAAGACCAAAGATGAAAACTCCCTCAAGTCATGGAGCCCAAGTGTACACAGACACTTATCAGACAACTTACCTGAGTCTGTTTCTCCTCATCCAGATCCAAAGACTCTTCCGGACACTGGGTTAGTACATGAATAGCTTCACCTGGGCTGCCTGGGGTTGAGATGTGCAGTTGGGAGTCATCTGCCTACAAGAGTTCAAATTCACAGATGATCTGACCCAGCCATTTCATGGGAAACTTAAACAGAAGATTCAAGAACATTTGAATTCCAAGAAAAGAAAGTTTGCAGGCACAACCTCTTTCCTTCATTAATATGGATTGGAACCAATCACAGAAGGAGGAAGACTACTATAACATGGTAGCCTCACAGCCAAACCCCACAGCCAGTCCAGAGAGATACATGATTGATGGCATCATAAGTCACTGAGAGATAAAGGAACATAAGGATGGACATACCAACCTGTCAGCCCTGTAAACTTAACCCAAGCTAAGAAACCAGTGCTATATTCTGTAGAACTACTTTTACCCGAAAAGCTGTAGCCACAGAATCTTGAAATTTTTGAATGGACTTTCCCCCTTCCTCAATTTATCTTCGTGTGAATTAGGAAGGAGTCTGTCTGAGACATTTATTCAAATTTGGAAGGAGCTTTAAACCATGCTTGTTTGATCATTGTTTTGTAGTGATTTTTCCTCTTTCTTCTAAAATTACCAAAGGCTCTGTCTTCTACAAACATCAAAGTCCCTCAAATATGATTGAAGTCCATTAACAAAAGGATATCAAAGTCAGGAGTTGGGCATAACTCCCAAAATTATAGAATTAACTCACTTCAAATTGAAACCAACCCTTATTATGATAGTCCATAGCTGTGCTCCAAGCACCAATGCAGAGGAAGCAGAACAATTCTAGAATAACTTGCAGTATCTTAAATCCAGCCCAGAATAGAATAGAACAGAACAGAACAGAATAGAACAGAACAGAATAGAATATATGGAATGGAATCAGAATAGAAGAGAATAGAGAATAGAGTAGAGTAGAGTAGAGTAGAGTAGAGTAGAGTAGAGTAGAGTAGAGTAGAATTCTTTATTGGCCAAGTGTGGTTGGATACACAAAGAATTTGTCTTAGTGTAAATACTCTCAGTATACATAAAAGAAAAGATACATTCATTAAGAATCAAGAATCATAAGGTCCAACGCTTAATGATACTCATAGGGTACAATAACCCATCAAATCATACTAGGAAACAGTCCATATAAATCGTAAGGATACAAGCGACAAAGTTAAAGTCATAACATAAGTGGGAGGAGATGGGTGAAAGGAAGGATGGGATCATGGAAGGATTAAAAGTAATAATAATAGTAGTACAGACTTTGTAAATAGTTGGACAGTGTTGAGGGAATTATTTGTTTAGCAGAGTGATGGCGTTCGGGAAAAAACTGTCCTTGTGTCTAGTTGTTCTGGTGTGCAATGCTCTATAGTGTCGTTTTGAGGGAAGGAGTTGAAACAGTTTATGTCCGGGATGTGAGGGGTCTGTGGATATTTTCACAGCCCTCTTTCTGACTCCTGCAGTATACAGGTCCTCGATAGAAAGCAGGTTGGTAGCCATTATTTGTTCTGCAGTCCTAATTATCCTCTGAAGTCTGTGTCTGTCCTGTTGGGTTGCAGAACCAAACCAGACAGTTATAGAGGTGCAGATGACAGACTCCATCATTCCTCTGTAGAACTGGATCAGCAGCTCCTTGGGCAGTTTGAGCTTTCTGAGTTGGCGCAGAAAGAACATTTGTTGTGCTTTTTTGATGACATTTTTGATGTTAGGTGTCCATTTTAGGTCTTGTGATATAGTAGAACCTAGAAATTTGAAGGTCTCTACTGTTGATACTGTGTTGTCTAGTATCGTGAGAGGTGGTAGTATGGGAGGGTTTCTTCTAAAGTCTACCACCATTTCTACAGTTTTGAGTGCATTCAGTTCCAGATTGTTCCAGTTACACCACGAGGCAAGTTGTACAACCTCCTGTCTGTAGGTGGATTCGTCGTTGTCTCGAATGAGACCAATCACTGTAGTGTCATCAGCAATCTTCAGTATTTTAACAGATGGATCGTTTGAGATTCAGTCATTGGGATATAGGGAGAAGAGAAGTGGAGATAGCACACAGCCTTGGGGTCCCCTGTGCTGATTGTACAGGTATCGGAGGTGATTCTGCCTAGCTTCACCTGCTGCTTCCTGTATGTTAGGAAGCTTATGATCCACTTACAAGTGTGTTCAGGTACCGCTAGTTGGTTTAATTTACTTAGAAGAGTGTCTGGAATGATGGTATTGAATGCTGATCTGAAGTCTACAAAGAGGACCCTCGCGTAGGTATTTGGAGAGTCAAGGTGTTGTAGGATGTAATGCAGAGCCATGTTAACAGCATCATCTGTCGATCTATTTGCTCGGTATGCAAACTGCATGGGATCTAACAGTGGATCTGTGATGGTTTTCAGGTGGGACAGCACAAGCCTTTCAAAGAGTTTCATAACTACAGATGTTAGAGCAACTGGTCTGTAGTCATTCAGTTCCTTGATGGAGGGTTGCTTTGGCACTGGGATGATGGTAGATGATGCCATAGGCAACTGGAATAACATCTGGAATAACAGGAAAATTTGAACTTTGAGAATGAAAGTAACAGAAGATCGATAACTAGAATTCTGCCAAGAACATTCAGGGTGAGGATACCTCTTCTAATAACCGAAAAATTACTTTACACATAGACATCACTGGATGGAGCACACCAAGAACAAGTGGACTCTGTCCTCTGAAGAAGCTCTTTTTTGTCAACAGAGACAAACCCAGACACTGATTGTGTCTCAGGTCACAAATTCCTTCTTGTAAAATTACAACTTGAACTAAAACACACAAATAAAATCATCAGGCCAACAAGCTACAACCTCAGCAGTATTCTGAACGTTTACGCAGTAAAAGGGAAGAATAGATTTAATGGATTGTTTTGATAAAGAGTGCCTTAAAAAAATCTAGGCTGAAATTAATGTTATCATTGAAGATTAATCGAGCAAAAATATCCTGAAATGTAGAAAGCCAAAGGGCTGCTTGTTTGTACCTTGAAAAGATGCATGATAAAAGAACGCAAAGATCTACTGGAGAAAAGATAGAAAGAAGACATAGCAATAGCACTTAGACTTCTATATCGCCTCACAGTGCTTTACAGCCCTCTCTAAGCAGTTTACAGAGCCAGCCTCTTGCCCCCAACAATCTGGGTCCCCATTTTACCCACCTCAGAAGGATGGAAGGCTGAGTCCACCTTCAGCCAGTCAGGATCGAACTGCTGACTGTGGGCAGAGTTAGCCTGCAATACTGCATTCTAACCACTGGG